TATATATATATATATATACTATATATATATACACACACATACATATATATATATATATATATACATATATATACACACACACACACACACACACACACACGCACACACACACACATATATATATATATATATGCCTAGCTCTGCGGCTGCTGTAAACTTGACGTCAGTACGTTATTCTGCGTGTTTGTGGAGGCAGTGAGCGGGATCTGGGGCTAGGTAGGGCCTTGGGCTGCTTCATTCAGAGACTTTAAAGCTTAGAGAATAAAACTAACAAGATTTCTACTATTATCAGTGAGGAGTCACTATATGCGTCTACAGCCGCGACCAACTGCTCACGGCGCACTGTGAGTTTGGTTTGTGAAGACTGCATTTGTTATGATTACCTCTATTCACACGAGACGTGGTACGATGAGAGAGATGAAGCAATATAGCTGTCACTGATATATAGTATGGCTTGCTGCGGCGTTCCTGTCGTCCAGTACGGTGCCTATATGAGAAAATATCCATGTTATTCCAGCGAAATATGTTCGTACGTTATAGCACTTTCTAAATTGAGATTTCTTGTCCACTTTCTCCTTTCTATTTCAATCTCGTTCTCTCTCTCTCTCTCTCTCACACACACGCGCGCACACACACACACACACACACACACACACACACACACACACACACACGCGCGCGCGCGCACACACACACACACACACTTGCCCTCTCTCCTCTATATTTCTCTTGCCGTCTCTCTGTCTCTCTCTCATTCACTAACTTACTCACGCAATCTCCATGTTCTCTCTTTCTCTCGGCATCTCTCTCTCGCGCGCTCTCTCTCTCTCTCTCTCTCTCTTTCTCTCGCTACCTGGTTCTTTCTCTCTCGCTCACACACACTCTCTCTCTATCCACCTCACGCTCACTCTCTTCCTCGCGGTATTTCTCGCTCTCTCGCGATGTGAGAGTCGGATAATAACGGCCGGTGACATCATGACACACAACACAATAGAGCGACAACAGCCGTATCCAGGTCAGCAGAGTCAAAGCCCTCACGCTCGGCCGAGCAGCCGTACATGGAAAGCAATAGAGGCGGCATGCAGGTGTAACTGACCAGAACGATATATGTAGCTCTACAATATACGCCACACACAATCCCTACACACACGTTTCCCACCCCAAACCGCGTGAAGTGCAGAACCCGCACGTAAAATAAACAGTAACGGCTCCAATAAGCCACGGCGGCGACACCTGGCCAGACGTTAGCGCATGCGCACACGCGGGATGCCCGTCTCGCTCCCCAGCGTGCTATTCTTTGTGAGCGGGACTTGTTCGTCGGCGATATGAACACGCTCTCAACAACTTCCGCGGTGGCCTGCGAGGGCGGCCAGGTATTGTCGCACCTTTGTTCTCCCCCGCTGCTAATTACAGTTGGAGTAATCATCACCTGTGACCTGCATCTTTACGCGAACCAAATCAACAACCGCCTCGTTACATACGCACCACTAATGGGAACACGCGGTGTATAGTATAGTATAATAATAATTATAGCTTGGTATAACATAGTATCAGGAGTGAATAATAGAGATAGTATAACACAGTATAGCATAGTAAAGCATTGTATAACATAGTATATCAAAGTATAGCATAGTAAAACATAGTATAGCACAAGATAGTATAACATAGTATAGCACAAGATAGTATAACATAGTATAGCATAGTATAGCACAAGATAGTATAACATAGTATAGCATAGTATAGCACAGTAAAGTATAGTATAACGTAGGATAGCGTAGTAGGGGAACTTGATTATTAAAAGATAGTATTATGTTACGTACGCATAGAGCATCTATCGCTGGTAATGCAGTGTGTATACGTCACTTCACAGTTGTGCCATTTTGCAAGTGAACTCAAAAGCGCCACCGTTAATTACGATATGAACTTTGATCGTGACATGAAACGTTGGTGGTGCTATAGTACAGGCAATTCTCGTATATATTCGATGTTGTTACGGATAGAGTTAAGAATAAGGGTTGTTACTGATGATAAATAAGCACATTTTTATTTAAATTGTGGTTATCTTGCCTCTATCCCCATCACGATGTCTTAAAGTTTCACGGTACTTCTCAGGGGTCGGGACAAACATTAATATGGTTACGACATAATAAAACAAGTTGCAAACAAAGACACGTTGTTTACTTGTTTATTTTTCATATCAATTTTACCACGACAATAAATATACACGTACATCCCACGTGTAGTCCCAGGAAGGCGTAAACAACTCAAGCTTATTTTGATTTCACGTATACAAAACGGCATACCATAAACATTTCATTCCCAAAAAAATATGTTCCTCCAGTTGCCGACATTTTAAATACAAGCGTCACTTTGCTAACCACACGATCCCTCCCAGCCTCCCACCACAACTAAACGCACCAGGATCAGTACCAGACGGGAAGTTACATGCTAGTAAGTTGATTCATGTACGTTCTTCGCAGCACGCCAATGTTTCACGATGATGATTATTGCACACGGTTAGGACACGGCAGTCTGAAAGCCCATATGTCTCATGGTGAAGCCTCATGAAGTATAAAGAACTGTGCAGCACACGGGTAAAACATTACGGTAAGCCCCGTAGCAGATGGCTCTCCTGTGATTTAGCAACGCGATAGTAAAACCCAACCGAAAACTATTGCACGACCCACTCTAAAACCTAGTGCAAGGCCCAGTATATAAGCGATTGCAAGACCCAGTCTAAACGCAATTGCAAGACCCAGCCCAAAAACTAATAGCAAGGACCAGCCTAAAAGCTATAACAATACCCAGTCTAAAAGCCATCGCAAGATGAAGACCAATTGTTACTCTGAGGTGTAGTCTCAAAGCTATATTGTAATGTTCCCTCTAAAGGTCTGGGCAGAGAGCTGCTGCAGCAATGTTGAACACCTCGTGGTGCCTAACCCACGGCGTACGCCATGAGATTCCCATAAGAGATAAATCATCACAGATATCTCACCACTAGACATCAAAGACGCGATATTTCGTAATTGACGGTTCCGCGTAGACATCTTATAAGTCACACGTATCAACCCAGATATCCCGTAATAGATTTGACAGACCGATACAAGAAGAGATGCCTGCACGTACATTCCAGGAGAGATACTTCATAAGAAACGTCTCAACAAATATCTTAGCGTATATAGAGGGGCAAGAGATATCTCAGCATTTCGTACTTACAGATCGCTAACAGACGTTTCATCTCGTTTATCAGGAACCAAGATACACTCTCCATCATAACGATACACCAGGAAGGAGAATGATACACCAGGAAGGAGAATGATACACCAGGAAGGAGAATGATACACCAGGCGGGAGAATGATACACCAGGCGGGAGAATGATACACCAGGCAGGAGAATGATACACCAGGCACACACACACACACACACACACACACACACACACACATTCACGCAAGGACGCAAGGACGCACGCACACACGGACGCACGCACACACGGACGCACACACGGACGCACACACGCACGGACGCACGCACAGAAAGGTGCACACACACATTCACGCACGCACAGACAGGTGCACACACACATACACGCACAGACGCACGCACAGACAGATGCAAGTACCCATGCATGCACGGACGCACGTACGCACGCACGCACGGACACACACGCACCCACGGACGCACACACGGATGTACGCACGCACACATGCACACACGGACGCACGCACACACACACGCACGCACGCACGGACACACACGCACGCACGCATGCACTTACGGATTCCGAAAATCAAAACAATTATCGCTACATGACAGCAATCATAAACGAGTCTACTATAAGCCGATGATAATGCATAAACCTGCACGCTATACGACAAACACTTACCGCTCTGCATAACCCCGCACTGCAGCAGAAATGTGAAACGTTGACAAAACAACGCCATATTTAATAGTTCATATCTACACGCGTACGTCTACTTCCCCGTTAGCACATAATGCGCGTGTTCACATATTATCGCGTCCTTTTCAAAATTTCAGGTCAATGTCCTTATTCATTATTACTGCATGTGTACTCACGGTAAACTAAAAACTAAAAGGTAAACAGTTTATCGAATATAAGTAACGCTCGTGTTTCTATGTAACTCGACACAGCTGTACGAATAAACGTCTACGCAGTACATATACACAACACACACACACACACACACACACACACACACACACACACACACACACACACACACACACACATACATACAATGCACACTCACACGGCTATCTCCCTCCTTCACACACCACACACAAGCACGCCCCTCACGTCTCGCCTCGCTTCCACCAAGAGGGAAGTGATTGCACACACACCTCTTCAGATCACGCCCCTGCACATCCTCACACACTACAATTATTGTAGTTCTATTCCCTACATCACGCACGCCCTCATGCGCCATCTCTAAAATACCAAGCTCTAGAACTATATAGCCCTTCGCGCTGCCCGTAGCAGAGCGAAGGGCTATAGTTCTAGAGCTTGGTCTTTTAGAGATGGCGCAGGAGAGGGTGCGTGATGTAGGGAATAGAACTACAATAATTGTAGTGTGTGAGGATGTGCAGGGGCGTGATCTGAAGAGGTGTGTGCGAAATCCCTTCCCTCTTGTTGGAAGCGAGGCGAGACGTGAGGGGCGTGCTTGTGTGTGGTGTGTGAAGGAGGGAGATAGCCGTGTGAGTGTGCATTGTAT